TGAATAATTTTTGGTTGATTGTAATCTATTACATACCTTTCTATCAAAATTATCTAACATTATCAAGATGAATTTGTTCTGACACAGTTTAACTCTGAGTTCTTGTCATATTTTATTACCATTTTCTAAACTATAGCGAATAAACTGTGATAATGTGAGAAATGTTGAAGGTGTCTGAATACATTTTGGTTTGACTATCTATTTGATGAATGAAGTTAACCAACTAACATTATACATACTCTTTTGGTTTCTGTACCCGATATTTAAAAAATTTACAAATGCAATAAAAATATCGGTATCGGTACTCGGTATCGGCAAGTACCAAAAATAAAAGTATCAGGTGAGTACTGGAAAAAGGGGTATCGGTGCATCCCTAGTAGAAATTGCCAAAAAAACATTGTATGGGTCAAAATTATTGATTTTTCTTTTATGCCAAAAATCATTAGGATATTAAGTAAAGATCATGTTCCATGAAGATATTTTGTAAATGTCCTACTGTAAATATATTAAAACTTAATTTTTGATTAGTAATATGCATTGCTAAGAACTTCATTTGGACAACTTTAAAGGCAATTTTCTCAATATTTAGATTTTTTTGCACCCTCAGATTCCAGATGTTCAAATAGTTGTATCTCGACCAAATCTTGTCCTATCCTAACAAACCATACATCGATGGAAAGCTTATTTATTCAGCTTTCAGATGATGTATAAATCTCAATTTTGAAAAATTGACACTTATGGCTGGTTTTGTGGTCCATGGTCACATATGATTTTGGTATGTTATGTTGGCATTCTGTAATACGTGTTGCATTATCATGGCCTTACAAAATACCATGTGCATATTCCAGGAAATTGTGGACCCTTGGAAATGGCATGACTCATATGCTGTGTTTGGGGAGGACAAACCCCTCAAAACAGGTGTGTGCTCAATCTGATGATGATGAATCTTCTTGATGTTTTTCCATTAAAATAACTCAATTATTCTTTCCCATTATGGCTTTTTGCTGTTGGATGTTTATTTTCTTCTTGACTCTCTAGGGAAGTGTTATAAAGTGCCAGCAGGTCTTGAGGAGTCTGGAAAGAGGAAGAGGAAGGGTTCTTCAAAACTTCAGGATTTTGAGAGCTGGTACTCTAAAGCCTGTAAGTTGTTATCAGGCTGTTATTTAAAAAGGAATGGAGGACACAACTGTTTAGATGACTGAGAAATAGTTTTTTTCTTTTACAGTTGAGACTACGGATCGCAAGCTTAAGAATGGACCTACTTATCCTGGTAATACTTTAAGTGCTATATAAAATACATTTTTCTCTAAGAATTTGTTGTAATTTATACAAATTATGTATTTTTTTTATTGTAGACCTTAATTACATCTTTGTGAGTAACATGGGTCAGCGTCTGAAAGTACAGAAGCAGATACTCAGGAAAAGGGTAAGTACAATAAATAAATGCTGTTCTTTTGAACCTTCTATTCATTAAACAGTCCAGGATTTTTCTATTCATTAAACAAATCAGCATATTAGAAGGATCTGAAGGATCAAGTGACACTGATGACTGGATTAATGGGTGAAAAAAAATTTGGCTTTGCCATTTTAGGAATATATTGCACTTTAAAATATATTAAAATATCGAACATTTATTTTAAATTGTGATCAAATTTCACAATATTACTGTTTTCACTGTATTTTTTTATATCAAATAAATGCCTCGATGAGCATAAGACACTTCTTTCAAAAACATAAAAAAATCATACTGACCCTGAACAGTAGTGTATTTGTGATATGTCATGTAACCCAAGGTATTTTCTGTTTTAGGGTGTTTTTGTGTCCGATGAGGAGTTAAAGAAAACTTACTTGGAACCAGAGAATATCGAGGACCGGGTTGAGGTTGTCCGGCATCCAGAAGAAGAGGGTTAGATGCATACACTAACATGCATGCACTCAAAATTATCCAACCCTAGATTTTTTCCCCCCTGCACCATTAGGCATTATTTGCATAGAACCATTGTTTAAAATGCACCAAACATAAACATTTTGTGGTGCTCCCTTCAATTTTATTCAGGTGAGGACTTTTCAGATGAGGAACATGACAATTTGGTTGATGATCTTGAACCTGCAGAGCATCTTGGTGAACAGGAGCAAATTTTCCATGACTTGCATATGAGTCGGATGAGTTATGAAGACCTGGTCAAGAAGAGTGTGGTATGAACGCTTAAGATTGATTTCCAGGGAAATAATGATTCATGAATTGGACAGTGCTAGTTTATTCTTTCTGATTTTTTCTGTATGTAGGACCTGTTTCTGGTGAACTCTCAGAAGTACGCGCAGGAGACTGCGTTGTCTCGAAGAGTCAGAGAGTGGGACAATATAATCTCCATCCTCATCTTTAGGCCCAGCGCTGGCGTAGACCCTATAATCCCGTCCTGCCTGCTTCACTTCCTCCGCAGTACCTGTCAATCCAATCAGCCGGGGATGGAAATCTTTTACGTACTTGGCCATGGCAGCCACGTCATCTCTCTCAGGGTCAACGGTGATAAAAAGTGGCTGGACAGGGGGCAGGCTGGGGTCTTTATCAAGAGTACGCACCACATTGGTCAATTTATCCAGCTCGTCTGGGCAGATATCCGGACAGTGGGTGAAGCCAAAGTATAAGAGCACCCAGCGGCCCAGGAAGTCACGTTTGGTCCTTCGCTGTCCTGTGTGATCCAACAGACTGAAGTCTCCCTGTCCGACTGCCACTTTTCTCAACTGCTCCATTCTCTGCATCTGGATCTTCTGTTGTTTCTCCTGATAAACATACCACCACGTACCAATAATACCACCTCCGAAAAGCAGCATCACCACTAAGCTCTTTATGAGAGATCTGCATGAGGGGAATGTGGCTTTTGGGAGATGATGTGAAAGCGGACTTATTTCTCTCATTGTTGACTGTAGGATTGTCAATGACGTCATACGCCAATCCAGTCCTCTGAGACAGCTGAGTCTCAACATCCTCAGAATAACTGATGGAGACAAAGAAAAAAGAATGGAGCGAGTTGTGCAACTTCAAATGCTCTTGATAAACTACAGTCTGAATCGAGGTTTTGAATCCTAGAGATCTGCCTTCCTACAGACAGTCACATTTTTAATTTTCAAGTGAAAAGACCTTGATTATCTGGTTCATAAAGTGTGTTTATATTTAGGGTTTGAGTTTAACTCTGCAGGCAGATCTCCAGAAACAGGATCACAATCGGTTTATTCATAATATATTCATGATAAATTATACAGATCTACAAAAGAATAAACATAAACCGTCAGTATATAAATATTCAATGTCTAACCAACAGTTTACAAATACCATAACATTATATAATCAATTTTTTTTTCTGATACTGTTAACTGAATTTTGCCTTGATTGTTTTGATTTGTATAATATTGAAAAATAATAAATAAAAAAATAAAAACATTGAGGGATTAACCTGACACGTAAATATACACGTATTCCATCCCGTACTGTACAGAAAATGCAATAGCCTTCTATGGCAGGTCAATGACAATATTAGCAAGTTAGCTCTGCGAGAAAAACAACAACATTTGTTTATACCACATTTGTCTTTGGTCGGTGCAAACGCAGGACTTGTAATATGAACACAAAATGACAGTTAAAACACGTTTAAATGTTACTAACCCTGAGGTAACAGTCGTCTGTCCTTACTTCTAGATGTAAACTTGAGCTCCACATGTGACATGTACAACAGTCAGGCGGTGTCACACTTGAGTTTCGAGGTCGCAGATTCATTTACAGCATGCAATGTAGGTCATGTAGACATGTTGTGAATTTAAAGAATATATTTAGAAATAACATATAAATAGTTATCATGTTAAATTACTAAGTAATATGTATTAATATTTGCTACAGTACACACCTTGTGGTAGATTCGTCATTAACGATCACGTGCTGAAAGGCCACTAGATGACAGTCTTTGATGGCAGGTTGGTAAAGATTAACAGTTGAGTGGAAATGTGTCAAATTTGACATGGTTTACAGTTGTCCGTTTTCAATTATGTTTTAGAATTGCATTGCATATAAATTATGTTTTACAACCAACACCCAAGAAAAACAAACAAAAACAAAAACATCAAAAAATGCTGTTTGGAACATGGACCCTGCACCAGGATCCTACGGACCCCTGGATAAAAATAACCCAGTCCCGTCAGCTTTTCAAAGTGACCAAAAAGTGTTTAAAGCACATAAAGAAACTTTCAAGTTCGCGGAACTACGACTACCGATCCTAGTCTAGAGGGTAAGAAATAAACAAAGAAAAAAGGCTAAAAACTTGAATTTCATTTGCTTTTTTTCCTCTAGTATTTTTATGTTCTATTATGTTTTATATATTGATGTTTAAGTATAATTAACATGCAAAATATTATTAAATGACAGGTCCATAAAACTGTTTGAAACATGGAACAAGTATAAATCTCGATTTCCTCCGTCTTATTTCGAAGAGCACCTGTTCCTCCTTTACTCTAAGGCAAATACTTTTTTTTAAACCACGTTTATACTAATGAGCTATACCAAAGATATTTTGCTAATGCATTCGATCTTTATCCATTCCATATCACATTTCCTTTATGTAAATATTTCTTTATCATTTCCTATCAGCGTTACAGGCTTGCTCTCTGGCAAGGGTACAGACTGCAGCAGTTTTGCACACAAAGCCTAGAAAGATGTGGAGCACTTCAGGCAGTCCTTCTTCTCAGATGGCTTTGATTCAAAGAGAGCCCGACTAACGGTTAGAGTCCCTCCCTGAAGTACATTCGACTGTTTTCAATATCATTTTTGGTTTCAGTGACCTTTGAACTATGTGTCTGTAGTTCCGTGCTCTTCAGGGAGAATGCCAGTGCATCTTCTATTTGGAGAAAGAAAGAGTTGCACTGCCAGACCAGAGTGGGGTTCAAAACCTGCTGAGCGTCCTGGGATTTGTGCGCATTCTCATGCAGGCTGTTCTGCCTGATGAAAGTTTATGCTGGATCCTGTACAATGGTACCTTCAGTAAGACCCCTGGGTGTAGTGTATCAGATTGACAATAAATGGTGACTGTGACTTCTTTTCTATATTTCCTAAGGGTCGTTACACATGTACAACATATGCAGATTCCTGATGTCAGCAGGCCATGCTTCACAGGTTCTCAAAAACATGCCTTTATCTGTGATGTTTTGTAACACTTTTCAGAATATACACTACTGGACACTTTTCAGTAATTTTATTTTAATTCATCAAAAGTGACAGTAAAGATTTTTACACTGTTACAAAAAACAAAAATGATATTTCAAATAAATTCTTTTCTATTCGTAAGAGAATCCTGAAAAAAAAAATCACAAAAATATTTAGCAGCACAACTGCTTTCAACATCGTTGTTACACAATGTTTCTCAAGCACCAAATCAAAATATTAGAATGATTTCTAAAGAATCATGTGACACTGAAACCTGGAGTAATGGCTGCTGACAATTTAGTTTTGCCATTACAGGAATAAATTACATTTTAAAATATATACAAATATAAAACAGTTATTTTAAATAATAATAATATTTCAATTTTTTAATCAAATAAATGCAGCCTTGGTGTGCATATGAAACTTATTTGAAAAACATAAAAAAAATCACACAACCCCAAATGTTTGAACGTTAGTATACTTTATTTTTATGTATCAACTGTTATATTCCCATATACCCCTACCTCAGGATGTTATACAATACAAATATACATAAATATATAGAAAAAAGTAAATGAGGGGAAAAGAGTAAAAATATAATAAAAAAACTGCAAATGTTATAATAATAATAAATATTCATTGGCAGATACATAAAACAGCAACATACTTGCTTAAAACTACAATTGACAACATTTCTGTGAATTAAATTCCTTCATGTTTGGAGCAAGTACTTGTTTTATTTATGTTTTTTTTTTTTCCACAAAACATACTTTTTGAATATTTTGGTTAGGTTTAAAGTCTTTTTTTGTCTTTTGTTCAGGTTTTAGAGTACTTACTATGGGCATGCACATGCCTAGAGACCTCTGTTCCTCTGCTGACTGCCAACTTCCTGCCATGGAGGGCCACACTTTACTGTGCTGTTTGTGAATGTTATTTTCATGACTGTGCTTCAGTTCAGGCAGAGGTGAGTTTCACATCAAAACGCTAAATCAACTTAGCTTTATGACTGATATCAAAGAGCCCAGAGGCAATCTGTCCTTCTTGCCTCCTGTTGTGCAATACTGTAGGTGTTTGCTCGCCGAGACCTTGGCAAGATCAGTGAACTGGCCAAGCTGGAGGAGATAACTGGCTCCCAAGTGCCGTTCGAGACCCAACAAGCTTATAAGGAGGCCACAATGAAAGTGAGAAAATGCAGCCTAAATGAAACATGTTGTTGTTTTAATGTTCTTGTATTATAACTACCATATTTTCATGCCTCTCTTGAATCACGTTATCGCTCCATTAATGGAGAGAAGCTTGCAGTGATGGTGTTTATTAAGCGTTCAGTATATGAGCCCCGAAGGAAACCGAAAGGCCTCTTCAGACCCAAACAGAAGAGCAATTTGAAAGAGCTACAGCTAGTGAGTATTTACTTTAATAAGGTACAATGCATCTTTTTCTTAGTTCTTCTCTAACATCTTATTTTTTTCCCCTCTGTCTCTTCCTTTATATCTCTCGGTAGACTCCATGGCCTCGCACACCAACTGAGCGTATCCTGATGGAGATGTTCGAGGGCAAGGCTGCTCGGTTTGTGGCAGTGCTGGAAGTTCTAGAGGACAGCTATGTCAGGCCTCTGCAGACCGGCATGCCTGAAGAATTCGAGGTCCAGGATGTGGTGCTGGAGCTCATTTCGGCTGGTAATAGCTTGTTGTCTGGTACTCTTTTTCATGCTCTCTCTGCCTCTGTGCAACTAAATGTCACTTTTAAGGCCTGTTCACACCAAGGACGATAACTATAACGAGTCCACCTCAAGTCCACCTCATAACTATAACGGTAACAACACAGAGGAACAATATTTTTTTTCCAGCTGTTGAATGATATCAACCTTAACAGCCAATCAGAATACATCCTACTTTAAAGAACTTTTAAAGCATTTAAAGTGACAGATGACAAAACTGCATAAAAAACTTGTCATAAATATAATTATTGTTATAGTTATTTTTATAGATATCGTTCTTGTTGTGAAATGGCCTTTAGAATTTAAATATCCCCTTTTTTTGCAGGTTTTGGTGATTCTGACCACACTTTTGATGAGAGCCTGCCTCCCTCTGTTAATGCAGTCACTCCTACCTCTTCTCTCTTTGACACAGCCGTTGCTGGTGAGTCCTTGCATTTACTGTAACTTGCCATTTATTCTCTTTCACTCTCATTCGTGTTTATGCATTATATGTTACTCAGGGTCTCTGTTTTGTGTCTCTCAGGAAAGAGTAAGATCGCAGTAGATGCTGCGGTGAAGTTTGTTAAGCAGCTCTTCTAGGCCCGTCACGATAACAACTTTTTGTTGTGCGATATATTGCCCCAGAAATAATTGCGATAAGCGATATTATTGTAATTTTAAAGACTATGGTGACATTAATTTAAGTAAATATAATGGGCGATATATTGTGTCACCAAAAATTATTGAGGTCATGTACATATCTTGCGCGATAAGTCGATATATTGATTATTGCTACAGGCCTAGCTCTTCAGATATGAACAGTGGAGCACGTTCAGGTCACTC